CATTTAGAGATAGCTCATCATTTTTGAGAACATCCATTAATAAGAAGCCTCACAACACTCCTGTGAGGTAGATATTTGGATTCCCCATTTCACAGATGGGTTAACAGAGGCACAGAGAGGTGATCTGATTTGCCTAAGGTCAACCATGTAAGAGAATGGGGAAAATATGGAAGAGAGGTAACTAAGGGCACCACTCTTGTTGCCAGACATCCATATTTAGCAATGGGGAAAAAAGATAGTGCTAAGTGTTTCTTTAAATTGGGTGCACCCAATTTCTTTTGTGTCCATCTCTTCAAATAGTACCTCATATAGGAATTAGCACACTATGAAACACCACTAGTTCCCTTGGCTTTTTTAAGGTTAGGTAAATTCATAATGATTTGGTTCAGGTATGAGAAAATGTTTTAGATACTGGATAGATAGACCCAGACCCTTAGTATTGAAATCACAGAAATCTCTAAATCCATAATTCAGTAGAGCACTTTGCTTCAAAGAGTTGTTAGAATTCTTTAAAAAAAAAGAAAAAAGAAAAGAAACATTACTATCATATTCATAAGCACCGGGTTCTAGTTGATAGTTATTTCCCATGTGTTTACAGGTTAACAATTAAGATACTGTTACATATTTATATATACTGAAATTGAACAATTAAGTAAATAGATGGCAGAAAGGTGGGAGCCATGTTTCTCACTGTTGAAATGGAAGGTAACACAGATAGGTAAGGGGAAGCCACTAGACTGATTTGTGCATTAATGGATCAAGAATAAAGACATCAATATAAACTCATGTATAACTAAATAAAGATATGGATGATCAACACAGAGACATATTTATAGCTATGTGTATATACATAAGTTAGTATACACATATATTTCCTTGTCAGATAAGGAGGCCTTGACACAACAATACCTCAGCAGCAACAAGCATACCTAGTGCCCACATCTTGATTTCTAATACATCTCTCCAGAGAAAGGAACCAAGACCCAATGAAGAACTGGCTGATTATAGAAATGCACCGAAGATTTCAAATTAAAAGAAAAGCAAGAGGAGCCTAGAAAATCTTGCAGTGCCAGAAATTAAAGACAGGCTTTAAAAAATCATATTGGGGCATGTCAAAAAGACTTTGAGAGTCAACTCAATAGAGTTCCCAGTGACCAAAGTCAGAACAATTTGAGCAACACAATAAAATAGCAATGGAGTATAACCTAAAGTATAAAATAAATAGCCACGAGTCCATGCTGATATAAATAAAAGGATGCATAAATAAATATGTGGAAAAGAGACAAATCTCCCATGCAGAAGAATTCCAAATAATTCCTACAGATATTTGTTTTCAAGGACGTGGTAAATAACTCACTACTCCATAAGTGAAGACTATAGTAATTTCCTTCCAAACAGTACAGAGACGGATGGGAGGTAAAAGAGTGCATGGGAGAAATAGGATAAACAGTCTCATAGCCAGTTGACCAAAGTTAACATCAAGAAGAAGAATAAGTCATGTAAATAGTATGTGATGAAAATAGTAATTCACCGATGTATTTTTCCTCCACACACAAAAAAACATTATTCCATTCTCTTTTTGAAAAAATAGAATAAATCCCAAGAATATACTTGTCTAAACTCCCAAGGTCATTAAAAACAAATCTAAGAAACTGTCACAACCAAGAGGAGCCTAAGGAAATATGTTCCTTAATGTAATATGTTATACCGAATGAAATAGTGAAACAAAAAAAGGATAGTGGGTAAAAATTTAGGAAATATGAATAAAGTACTGACCATAGTTAACATTTCCGTAATTGTAACAAATTACCTCACTCATGTAAAATGTTAAAAACAGGAAACTAGATGTAGAGTTAATAACAGAAAAACTTAGATGTGTACTATCTTCACAATTTTTTTCTGTAAATCTGATAATGTTACAAAATAAAAAATATATTCAAAAATAAGTTCCGAGCCAGCTGTGGTAACACACATCTGTCATCACAGTACTTGGGAGGATGAGGGTTGGAGGATTTGGAGTTTGAGGCCAGGCTGGTCTATGTAGTGAGACCCTGTTTTAATACTTTTTTTAAACAAAAGTAATATAAAGAAGTTCCTATCAGAAATCTTCTCCACAGCACACTCCATCTAATCTATCCAACCATTTCATAGTCCTCATAGTTTTCCTTAAATTTAATAATCATAGGCATCAATAGTTATGCTCAAATGCCAATCATTTCCAGATAGAGAAATTCTATTGCAACCAATTCCTAAATTATTAACCATACTTAGAAAATAAGGTCATTTCCATATCCTAGGCAACTCTTGGACTAGCAGTGCTTTGCTGGTATATGCACATCAAATTCAAATAAACTCCAAATGCTAACCAAGAAGGAGAAAAACTATAGCTCCTTTCTACCTTACTATCTAGCAAACATTTATTTATGTGCTTTTATTGCAGCAATTCTTCACTGTACTGCATCTGAATCCATGTACTCTATGAAAGTCCCTTAGTGGCTCTTGTCACATTTCTGAAGGTATATGTAATTAATTATAAATGTTTCAAAATCATTTTTGCAAGAAAAAGGGCAATGAGAATAAGATTAGAATTGATTGCTTCTTAAGACAGTAAGCACTTGCAAAAGCATTAATTTGCAGAAAGTTTTTCTTTTTTAATAAAGGCTCAGGTGCATCAGGAAAACCAATTTTGGGATCCTGATTTGATCATTCTAATTAGTACAATAGTTGATAGTCTGTATTTATAAAAATGGATCATATGATCCAATGCAAATGTTCCTGAGGTCTGAGGGGCACAAGTCAGTTCTAAACTCTGGGAAAGGAATCAGGATCCAAACTGTAGAGAAATGGGTCAACCCCTGGCTCTACTGTGAAATACTGTATTAACTACAGAATTATAAGCTTAAGTCTATGTGTGATAGTAATCCACAGTTACCAATCAGTATTATAATTCCATAGAGATTTCCAATGAATAGACTGGCCCTAGATATTTGCTAGAGTTTTAGAAATTAGTATATAGTTGGAACTTGTACACCAAAAGTCAGGTAAAAGCCCATATTAAAATAAAAGTCACAACAGTAAAAACCTACATGTCATCTTGAAAAGTACAAGAAATCTTTAAACTTAAGGATAGTTGATGGTATGGAAAAACATTGTGAGTTAAAATGAGATAAAAAAATCTAATATTATATGTCAATAATCACTTTTCTTACTACATCATCAACTGTACATGACTTTTGAGTGGTTCCAAGTTTTCTGAAGTGTCACATAAAATTGGCAAATATTGCAACCAATTATATAAAATTTTCTTTAATTTGGCTTAATAATGTGATCCCTGGGAGAAGGAGTGTACAGGTCTATAAGGCCTCAAGGAAACATTTGGAGAAAGAATCTGACCCGTATTTGTCTCATCTGTATAATATGAGGGACGGGTAGGACTAGAAAGCTAATAGGATCCCTTTTTGATGCTAGAATTCTATGATTTAGTCAGAATGGACAGCTTCAGGAGGTAGTCACCTAAAGTATTTAAGCAGGGACTGGTTGAATATATGCCAAGGAAAAAAGGGTTCAATATGAAAACAACCTTTAGGAGAGAGGTTGAACTCAATCCAATTGATACAAAGCCCCCTCTTCTTACCCCAGGAGAGGAAATATGCCATGTGGAGGTAGATCTGAGGTCCAGGGCCAGGAACATAGGGGCTTATGCCCCCCAGAGAATATTACGAAACAGTCTGATTGGGCAACCAAATGTGTATGTTATGCAACCTGCTGTAACAGCTAAAACTAAATGGCTTAGGTGTCCCTAACAGTTGTAAAACACCAAACTGCTTTTTCTCTCTCACTTCTCACAAAAAAGCCTTTTATATCCTATTCAACATAGACTAGTGACTGCCAATAATGCTATGGCATAAACAAAAGTCCTTTTTTCCGACCCCTCACCTCTGGTTAACACGACCTCAGTGTGTATTTCTCATCATGTAAATATACTAAATTGTTGCTTCATGTAAACAAAAAAAAGAACAGTACAGTGCAGCTCCTGAAGATTCTGTCTCAACAGGCTGCCATTTGAAATGAGGTTTATGATTACCAGCACTTTTCGTATCCTGTCCAAATGAAAGTCATCTTATTTGTTCTCAGGGTCGCCCCCAGGTTTGCTTGTTCCTGTCAGTGACCAACTTATTTTCCTAGAACACTTTTTCCCCCTACTGACCTGTCTTTGTGTGCTTTGAATATTTGTCCAAATGTAACCTAAGAAGCTGTAATTGTGCCACAAAAAATCTTTAATCCTGAAAGAGCAGGAAGAGAAAGAGGAGAAAGACAAGAAGGACCCTTCATCCTCTTTGATGGACTTATGAAGAAGAAACCAGCAATGTCTGAAAACAAAATTGTAAGAAGAAAACTGGATTGAATCTACAAAACCTTTAAGTTTGGTATGAGACTCAGCTTATTCACTAAGAACATGCCCTACATTTAGGACCCAATTCTCTGTCAATCTTACCATTCAACTGCATTGTTATGCTCCCTCCATGTAGGAACATGAAAAAAAAAGTCATTTTAGGATACTACCACTGCCTTAAGTACTGATTAAAAATATAGATATATATATATGGATAAAAGTTCTAGAAAACGAGAAAAAATAGGGTGGGGAGGGGAAGCAGCGTATGTTTGTTCACAGCCTTGAGTTTTGATTCCTGTTTTGTTATTGTAGGAAAAATGTCTATATCTGAATAGAGGGTCTGGGGAAAGGGGCAGCCATGGGTGCCGCACTGGAATTCAACCCATGCGGAGGTTGAAAAAACTGAAGTCTGGACAATGGAGAGGTGAAGGTGGAATATGAAGAGCCCCATGGGAGACCAGACAGCTTTTTAGTCTCCTCAACCTGGCTCAGTAGGCTGCTCCAACCCCATCCCCGAGGCAAGTAGAGGTCAAAGAGGACAAACTGGTCACGATCTCAGCACCCACACAGGAGACCAGTGCAGCTCCTCTAGTGTGGTCTGCGGTGCTCACATGGTGTCATGGCGCCGGCGGTGCAGAGACAAATGGTCAGAGCGAGAAAAGCTGCGGTTGCAGTCTGTACACCGAAAGGGCTTGATGCCTGTGTGCTTGCGGAAATGGCGGGTGAGCTCATCCGAGCGTGCGAATTTCCAGGAGCAGCCATCCCAGGTGCATTTGTAAGGCTTCTCTCCTGAAAACAAAACATGGCAGAACAAAGGGAATCAGAGAGGCGATGGATGCCTGGCTAGTAGCACTGCAGTCAAAGATGAGGCAATCATTTTAAAAAGGCATGCTCTTGTTCACTTTTGCAAATTAATTCTATCATGCACATCATGATGTATTGAAATAATGGATGCATTCTGGATTTGGTTAAATGAAGCTAATTAATATATGCATTAGCATCACATACTTTTTTACGGTGATGAGGACACTTTTAAAATAGACATTTGTGAACTAAGTGCTGGTGGCTCATGTGTGTAATCCTACCTACTCAGGAAGCTGAGATCTGAGGATTGCAGATCAAAGCCAGCCTGGGCAGGAAAGTCCATGAAACTCTTAACTCCAACTAACCACCAAAAGAATGGAGTAGAGCTGTGGCTCAAGTATTAGAACAAAAAAAAACTCAGAGACAGCACCCAGGCCCTGAGTTCAAGCCCCAGAACATATATATATATATATATATATATATATATATATATATATATATATATATATATATATATGTACAGAGAGAGAGGGAGAGACTCATAGATTTTCAATAATTAATACACTGTTATTCATATAAACGCTAAGATGTCAGAGTGGAAAGCATATAGGCCCTGGATTAAATAGATGTTTGAAATCTAGCTCAATCATACCCTCTGTGATCTTACATAATCACTTTCACCTGGCCAAGTCTGTTTACTCATCTTCAAAGTGGGTAAAAAGATCTCACAGGGTTCTGAGATTTTCTCTTTTTCTAGCTAGGAAACAAAAGAACTAGGATCCAAACTCAGGTTTTAGACACTTTCCACCCTGCTATATTGAACTAATGGACTAACTCTGCTAATTCCTCCAATTGAATATTTAAAATGGTACAGGGAAGATTGCATTCTAAGGCCAGTCTAGGGAAAGTAACAAGATGTTATCCAAAAAAAATACAGACAAAACAGGGTAAGGGGGCAAACCTCAATGGGTAGACCACCTAACTAGCAACCATGAGTCCTTAAACCTCCAGTACTAAAATTACCCCCATTATATGTACGGTCACATACTACACATTTATATTCTAAGGTCAAAGTCAATATAAATACACTTAAGTGTAAATTATTAGAAGAATAATACACTTAAGTGTAAATTATTAGAAGAATTACTAACAGTGAGGGAAGTGAATGAAGATAGAGATGCTGAAGAGAGAACTTTTAATTTTGCATCTTTTGTACTATTTGAATGTTTTGATACCAGGATATATTTTATCTCAAAAAAATAAAAAAGAAAGAAGTTATATTTGCACAAATATTAATTATGGTTAAGTTTGAGCTATAATTATGGTAATAAATGCTTTCATTTTAGTACATTTTTTCTGTTCCTCATCTGTTACAATGAGCAATCTTAATTTTATAATCAAAAACAAGGAATATTGCAGACACGAACTGCATCGTATTCTAACCATCTCTTCTGAATCTTTCCTTTTCTTCTTTATAAATTTTCCAGGGCATTTACATTGTTGCTGCTTTAAATTTTGTTTCTATGTACTGTTTTCCATCTTACTGCTCACCACCCACGTATTAGCTAATTAACTGTATAGCTTTCAGGTACTGAATAATAGAATCCAACCAGATTCACAGGCTTGGACAATAACCAGGCAACTGTTTTGATGATCAAAGATGCCAATTACTAATAATATCATTATTCTGAAATTGCTGCATTGGTTTCTAAGAAGAATGAGAAAGGGATGAGTGTATTGAGACCAACGAAACATTATGAAATGAGATGTAAAAGCTACTGAATGACTATTCATATGCACACACAGGGAAAAGGCTAGAAGGCTGTACAGAAAAAAAATGAAGGAGATTTTCTGAGACTGTGGAGAGTGTGAGATTTTCATCTTTTGTTCTACAATATTATACCATTTCCAAACATCTCAACTGTTATATTACTATGGAAATATTTTGTTGTAACATAAACAATTTCTCCTGAGAGTTCCTATCTTCACTACATCCAGATGAAGAAAATTTGGCTTGTAAAGCAGTGACACCCTGTGGCAATCAAGGCTTATTGCTCATCACAAAAATTACAGAAATTCAGCAGAAACCTATCTTTCTATTTTAAGAACAGTTATCACATATTAATTACATTGTGTTTATTATCATTAAACAAACCCTTGTTTAAGCTAACTTCATATGACACATTTCATCACGTCCACCAATGCTATCATTTGAAGAACAAAATTTATATAGGAAAAAATAATTCATTATATAAAACATACACAGTAAATATAAGATAAAGACAGTGTGACTAGGCATTGAAATGGAGGCATTGGTAGGTTTTAGATGTGTGGACCAGAAAGCAAAAATCAGCCTAATCACTGGGTAGCACAAAGTTTCATAAGGCAAAAGGTGAATGGTTCAGCCATCCTGTAGTATTACAGAATTACTAACAGATGATCCATATTACAAAATCTAAGTGGAAAAAGTTTGGATTAAAACAATGAGGAAGGGAGGGAGGAAGGAAGGAAGGAAGGAAGGAAGGAAGGAAGGAAGGAAGGAAGGAAGGAAGGAAGGAAGGAAGGAAGGAAGGAAGGAAGGAAGGAAGGAAGGGAGGGAGGGAGGGAGGGAGGAAGGAATTTGGACTTAGGCAAGTAAGGCAGTAATACACCAAAGGTGAGGTGGGCAAGGGGAGTTGTTGCCCTATGTGAGGCTATAATGAACAGAGAAGTTGAAAACAGACTCAAAATATGTGTGTGTTTAGGGGAAAACAAAGGAGGTAACAATGCTTGATAGGAAATGTACTCATTACCTTACTCCTGTAACTGTAATCCCTCTGTACAGTATTTTTACAATTATACATATATACATATATATATATATATATTTTAAACACACTAGTACTGGAGCTTGAACTCAGAGCCTGGGAGCTTTTTTGCTCAAGACTAGCCTTCTACAACTTGAACCACAACTCCACGGCTGACTTTTGGAGATAAGAATCTCACAGACTTTCCTGTGCAGGCTGGCTTCAAACTGAGATCCTCAAATCTCAGCCTCCTGAGTAGCTAGGTTTATAAGTGTGAGCCACTAGTGCCTGGTTTCACTTCCTGTCTTTTGATGATTAATTGGAGATAAGAACATTTTGGATGTCTGCCAGAGCTGGATTTGAGCCATGATCCTCAGATGCCAGTCTTGTGAGTTAAAGGTTATAGGTGTGAGCCATCAGCAGTGAGTAAAATTAATCTTTTTATTCTCATCATTTACAAATTTAAAATCATGTCAATAATCTCCCCACCAGGATAGAGAGCTTCTATTGCTATCCCTTTCTTGTTATATCTCTTAATTCAGGCAATGGTTGCCTGTTGATGTAACAATGCAGATTTTTAAACTCAAGAGTGACTTAGTCAAAGTTCCATCTCAAAACTATTTAACCATAATGTTGGAAGGTAAAAGAAAGTGGAGGTATGGCTCAAGTGGTAAAGCACAAGCCTTGAGTGAAAAATGGATAAAAGTTAACTGAATATAAAGTAGGTGATCAAATTAGTTTTGTTGAATTAATATAGGACTCAAGAATAAGTTTTTAAGTGTAAAAGGGGACAAAAGAACTGAAATTGAAAGAATGTTAATTTAGACCCAGAGGATCATTAGATTAAGCCTATATTGAAATAAATTGGAAAATCTAGAAATGGATAAACTTCTAGACACAAATAATCTACCAAACTGAAACTGAGAGGATATTAAGAAGCATAATCTAAGATAAGCAATGATACTGAAATAGTAAAAGTTTCCAATCAAAAGTTTAACCATGTGCCACTGGCACACACCTGTAATCCTAGCTACTCAGGGGGCTGAGATATGAAGACTGATGTTTGAAGCCAGCCTGCACAGAAAAAAACTGTAAAATTCTTGTACAATTAACCAGCAAAACCAGAAGTGGAGGGGTTTATATGGTACAGTGCCAGCATTGAGTGAAAAAGCTAGACAAAAGCATGAGCCTTTGAGTTCAATGACCAAAACTGTCTTTCGTTCCTTCTCTCCTTTTTGGTAAGTCATGGGGCCTGAACTCTGGGCCTGGGCACTGTCCCTCAACTCTTCAGCTCAAGGCTAGCACTCTACCACTTGAGCCATAACACTACTTCTGGTTTTTTTCTGCTTATGTGGTACTGAGGAATCAAACCCAGGGCCACGTGCATGCAAAGCAAGCATTCTACCACTGAGCCACCTTCCCAGCCCTTCCTTCTGTCCTTCTTTTTCTTTCTTTCTTTCTTTTTCTTTCTTTCCTTCCTTCCTTCCTTCCCTCCTTTCCTTCCTTCCTTCCTTTCTTTCTTTTTCTTTCTGTCTCTCACACACATAGCATGCTTGCGTGTTTTGCACACACACACACACACACACACACACACACACAAAGTCTGGGAGCAGACAAATTAACTGTTGATTGCCAGACTTTTAAAGAAAAACTGATATCAATGCTCCCAAAATGATTCCATAAAATAGGAAAGTAAGGAACACTTCCAAACTCACCCTAAAAGCCACTATTTTCCTGATACTGAACCCTGACAAAGGGCACAAGCAAAGGGAACATTATAGGAAATATCCTTGATGGACACAGATGTAAATGTCCTCAATAAAATATCTATGAACTGAATTTTTAATCATTAAAAAGTTTGTTTACCAACTAACTTAATTTCATTCCTGGGATGCCAGGATAGATCAACCTATACAATTCAGTAAATATAACCCTGCATATAAATAGAATCAAGGATACAAATTAATGATCATCTCAGCAGATAAAGAAAACACCTATCAAAACTTCAATACCCCTTCATGATGAAAGCCCTGAAAAACCTAAGTATAGAAAGATCATACCTCAAACATAATAAATAATACTATAACTAACATTGCATTAAATAGGGAAAAACAATCATTTCCTCAAAGGCAGGAATGAAACAAAGGTGTCTACTCTCTTCACTCTGCTTTAATATAGTATGTGAATCCTAAGCCAGAGCTATAAGGCAAAACAATACAAAATATGAAGAATATAAATAGGAAAGAACTCAAATTATACCCATTTGAGTATTATATGATCCTATGCTTACAAGAAAATAAAGTCTCCATCAGAAGATTCTTAGATCCAACAAATTAGGGAAAGTGGCAAAAGGTACAAGATCAACATGCAAGCATCAATATACTTTCTATACATCAGTAAGATGTGCTGAGAAATAAATTCAAAATAGTTAAAAAAGAAGCCTAAACAAGAAAGTTAAATACCTGTACAATGAAAAATTATACAACACTAAAGAAATAGAAAAAAAACACTAAAAGATGGAATGATGCCCTCTCCATCAACAAAATTAGTATTATGAAAATGGACATACTTCTGAAAGCTATCTACAGAGTCAATACAATTGCCATTAAAATTCTAAGGACATCCTTCATGAAAGAGATAAAAATCCTAAAATTCATATGTAAGCAAAAAGACTCTATTAGAGATAGCCAAAGCAATCCTGAACACAAAAGGCTATGCTGAAGGTATCAAAACAACAGTATTACATACAGCCATATTAACAAAACCAGTTCAGCACTAGCCAAAAAAAAAAGCAAAAAAATACTTAGACCAATGGAATAGTGGATCCATCTGATTCTTGATAAAGGAGCATAAAACATACTAAGATATAAAATAGTTCCAAAGGTTCATGTATAGAAGGCTTGATCTATTAAAAAATGATGGATCACTGGATGCTGATTGCTCACGCCTGTAATCCCAGATACTCAGGAGACAGATCTGAGGATTGAGGTCCAAAGCCAGCCTGGGCAGGAAAAATCCAGAGAATAGAGATTATTTTTGTGGGGGGAGGGGTCCGGTCTTGGGGCCTGAACTCTGGGCCTGGGCGCTGTCCCTCAGCTCTTCCGCTCAAGGCGAGCACTCTACCGCTTGAGCCACAGCTCCACTTCCGGTTTTCTAGTGGTTTATTGGAGATAAGAGTCTCATGGACTTCCCTGCCTGAGCTGGCTTTGAACTGCGATCCTCAGATCTCAGCCTCCTGAGTAGTTAGGATTACAGGCGTGAGCCATCAGTGCCTGGCTATTATGACTATTCTTAATCATGTGGTTTAAGAGCCTTTGAAACTGGATTGTGGGAAGAATTTTGAGAACTTTGGAGATACAGGATTTAAAAAGAAAAGCTTATAATGCTGCAAATAGAGGACACTGTTTTGTGCCAGTCCTGGGGCTTAAGCTGAGTTCCTGGGTACTGTCCTTGAGCTTGTTTTGCTCAAGCCTCAGGGCAAAAACCCTAAAATAAGTGCTAAAAATGTATAGACTAGTTTATCTACTGCGGAAAAATTTAAGGCAGTGCAGCTTTCAAGCTATGGCATGAACATTGCTAATTGCTTTTAGACACATTTACAGTGAAAATTAGTAAGTAGCAAACACCAGAGATGGAAGATTGGGAAAACTTGCAGTTTGGCCATAAAAGGAGTGTGTTTAAAGTTGGGGCCAAGGAAAATGTGGTTCCTGAAAAACTGAGCACCATTAAAAAGATGTCAAGTCCTCTGCATCTGGACAATAGGAAAGATGACTTTGAAGGCATCTCAGGAAATGGCCAGATCCCAACTATCATAAGCTCAAGGATGTAAAGATACAGACTCACTGGAAAGACTTTAGTTTGAGAAAAGAACTCAAGGTCACCATGCTGACCCAAGACAATCTAAGGAGTATGTCCTCATGTTTACTTATTCAAACACTCAAAGGAGCTGTGGTCCAAGTTGGCTCAGTTAGAGCTAAAGCTGATAGCAGACTTCAGAGTCCTCTAAATGTTGCTGGTTTTACTAGCATGCAAAACGTAAATGTTAAAGAGAGTCGTGGAGACTTCTACACAGATTTCCAAGAAAAGCTTGGGAGGTCAGATAATATGGAGGGTTGGAATAGCTGTGGCAGCCCCTGAGAAGGTGATATGTGAAGCTGTGAAGATGGAAGGGAGACTCCAGGAAATGAGAGATGTCAGAAACATAAAACAGCAGCCTAAGAATGCTGCATACAGTATGCAGAACCAGGCGGAGAGAAAGAACATGTGGACTGCAGCCAGCAATATCATAGGGGCAGGCCTTTCCCAGCCCTTTGCTGCTCACATCATACCCTTGCAAGTCTTGGATACCAGACACACAGCTTACAACATTTATCTTTGTCCTACCAAGTTTGAGTCTTTTCTCCCATTCCTCCCTTACAAAATGAAACTATTTACTCTGTACTCTTGTATCTTTTTTAAAATTTTTTACAAAGGCTCACAGCTAAGAGCTTGCTTTGAATCTCAAGGGAGACTTGGTAGACTGTTAAATAATGTTTGAACTATTGAGACTTTGGGGGCTCTTGGAGATGGGCCAAGTAGAGACTGCTAGAGATTAGATGGAAAATCGTCACAAAAGGTCAGTTGTTTAAGGTTAGGTCACCAGCACATTAAGAGGTGAATTGAGCCAAGAACCAGTGGCTCATGCCCATAATCCTAGCTAATCAAAAAGCTGAGATCTGAGAATCAAAGGACCAAGGCAGCCAGGGCAGGAAAGTCCAGAGACTCTTACATCCAATTAACCACTGGAAAAATAAAGCTCAAAGCAGAGGTATGGCACAATTGGTAGAGCACCTGTCTTAAGCCAGAAAGCTAAGGGATAGTTTGAGGTCCCAAATTCAAGTTCCAGTATCAACACACAAAAAAGTGAATTCATCAGGATGGCTCTAATCTAATCAATTGATTAATACATTAGTGGATTCATAATTTGATGGCATTATTAGGTGGTTGTGGAAACTAGGAGAAAGTAAGTAGGCTGGAGGAAGTGGGTCATGGAAAAGTATATCTTTAATTATCTTTAAAGTGCATATCTTGTTCCTGACACCTTCCTCCTTTTCTCTCTGCTTCCTGTCCACCAAGAGGTAAGCCACTTTGCTCCACCACATGCTACCTGGCCATGTTATTTTGTCTTGTTCTGCACAGGTCCAGGAGACAAGTTTCAATGAACTAAAAATCTCTTTTTCTTTAAGCTGACTTGCTCAGGTATTTAGTCACAGTGACAAACACATCTACATTGCAGTAATGACAGCCTTTCCAACAAATGGCCCTGAAAATCCAACGTACACATGTTGAACATTTACACTATATCCCATTCCCTCCCTCTGTACAAAATATCAACTGATTCTGGGCACCAGTAATCACACCTGTAATCCTAGCTATTGAGAAAGCTGAGATGTTGCCAACCTAGGCAGAAAAGATAAGGTGACTTTTATCTCTAATTAACCAGCAAAAAAGCCCAAAGTGGAGCTTTGACTCAAGTGGTAGTGCAAAAAAACTTGAGCAAAAAAAGGTAAGGGATGGTGCCCAAGCCCTACGTTTAACCCCGGTACTGATACACACACACACACACAAAAATCAACTGAAAATAGGTCAAAGGCCTAATAAAAGGCACACAACATTGAGGAAAACATACAGGAAATACTTAAAGATATAAAAATAGGTGATGATTTCCTAAACAGGACTCCAATTGCCCAAGAAATAATATTAAGACTTGACTAATAGGATTAGGTCCAATTAAAAAGCATACACATAAGACAGGAAGCAATCAGTAGAATGAAGAGAAGCCTACAGAATGAGAGAAATATATTTGCTTCAGTGCTGTAGCTTCCTAACTAGAAAGATCTACAGGTGCACCTTAGGGATAATGACTACTCAGAAGATGCCAGACTTCATGTTTTGCTAGGCTGTTTTTAATCAAAGTTGCCCTAGGAATAAGATATGTGGATAAAAGCCACGAATGGGCCTTGTGCTCATAAGTATAAATGTTTCAGTCATTATTTCAAGACTTCTGTTCCTAACTCTCAGAGACTGTATGTATTTATATCTGCATATTGAGGTGGAATAGGGGTGGGCAGACCTGTGTGGATTCTGCGGTGAGCTTTCAGGTGAGAGCTTTTGGTATACACTTTGCTGCATCCTGCAAAATCACACTGGTGAATCCGTCTTCTCTTCAAGTCAAGTGATTCCTCTCCCTGCATTTGGGCCATTGTTGCTGGTCTGAGCAAAGAAAGAAAGATAAAGCCAAAGATTGATTTTAAAGTAGAAACAAAAAATGCTTGCATACAGTGATGCCACCTCATCCATGCTTTTAATTTATGCAAATTTAATCCTAGTTCCCCATGAGAAGAAATTATTGGGATAATGCAAGCGATTCTTTCAACAAGGCCATTCTGATGGCCGGGCGCTGGTGGCTCACGCCTGTAATCCTAGCTACACAGGAGGCTGAGATCTGAGGATCGCGGTTCAAAGCCAGCCCGGGCAGGAGAGACCGTGAGACTCTTATCTCCAATAAACCACCAGAAAACCGGAAGTGCTGTAGCTCAAGTGGTAGAGCGCTCGCCTTGAGCTGAAGAGCTGAGGGACAGCGCCCAGGCCCAGAGTTCAAGCCCCACGACCGACAAAAAAAAAAAAAGGCCATTCTGCTCAGAAAGTGAAGGTCCTTGAGAAGGCATGGGAGGTCATAATGTTTCCTTGGGGAGTTGTGTTCCCAAACAGTGTGAACATTTTACTTCAATAAGTGTCATTATTCTTGTGCTTCAAGAAATCCATTTTTCATACAACATGATGCTAAACGCAACCCAAGGACTTCCAGTTCACCTTAATACTGGAAGATCAAGTTGTTATAATGTATAGAAACAAAGATCATACAACTATAATGCATAGGAGATTTGAAGTTGTTTTCAAGGATAAAATTGATGGTGAATAATTGGAATATAACTGTAACATAACATGTACACACTTGTCCACACAAACTCACATATCATATCTGGGGAGTTTATGTACATTTTGATGTCCTCAATTTTAATTGCCTGGTAAGACTTCCTTACACATGCGAGCACACATACACACACACACACACACACACACACATACACACACAATGAATGGGAGCTTGTACATGCTCACACACATCACATAAACACAGAGACTTGAAAACAGAAGTACTTACTCATGGTGCAGTCCCTGCAGACTCTGTAAGGCTGAGGATCCACTCTCAATTGCACTCTCCTCACTATCACTTGGAATCTCCAGTGGAGACATGGACGTGGGATCAACTTTCACTAAAAATAAAAGGAGGAGTGTGAGCAGAATGTATATGATTCTGCAATCATTTTCAGGATTCTCAGTATGGCCTACATTGAGAAGTGAAAGCAAGATAGGGAAATGCAGAGGGTATAAAAAGGAGAGATGAGAGAGAAATATATGTAGGGAAGACAAGAATAACATTTTTGACAGGAAAGTAAAACCAATTTTGTCGAAAGAAGAAGAGATCAGTGGAGAAAGGAGGGCTAACAAAGAGGGTAAGTGAAGTTGAATATGCATCAAAGTAGTTTTGTTTGTATGTATGAAAATAGCCAAGCACTGTTGGCTCATAACTTCTAGCTACTCAGAAAGTTGAGATCTGAGGACTGTGGTTCAAAGCCAGTCTGGACAGAAAAAAGGCAGAAGTGGAGCTGTGACTCAAGTGATAGAGTGCCAGCCTTGAAGAAAAAAGCTAATGGAAAGTGCCCAGGTTCTAAGTTCAAGCCCAATACTGGCACACACACACACACACACAAATGCAACCTGTTGAAATTGTTTTAAGATAGAAGGAGGAGATAAGGAATGATAAAGGTGAAGATGATTGGTAAGAATACCATTTTTTTAACTAGAAAAATAATTTTTATTTACTAAAATGTGTCATGTAAGGTATTTAAAGCTTGTATTGTTTTTAATTTTTTTCTTCAAATAGATGAAGAAAAGGATTTCAACTTAACATGTCAATTTACATGTGAAATGCATCTTGATCAGTTACTGCTTCCTTCATTCTCCAGCCACCCCACCCCTCTAGCCCATCCCCATCCATATCCTTAAGTTTCCTTACTCAGTAAGCATAAATAAGCTTTGACTGACTTGGGGTAAGGACTAAAAGGACTCAAGAACTTAAAGAATTTTAACCATATTTAACCATCTTTCATCCTGAACATTCACCCTCCCTGCGGAATTTTTACCCTAAAGAGGACTTGTTTTATACTCATGTCATTCTTTCTTTTGTATTGCATGCTAGTATTCAACAGGGTTTCATCTTAGTGTTTTATAAATATACATATAAATATACATATACATATACACACGGCACTTCAATCAATTGACTCTCATTGACTCACTTTCTCCACCTCTACAACGTCTTTTTTAATTGTCAAGGTGATGTACAGAGGGGTGACAGTTACATAAGTAAGGTAATAAGTACATTTCTTATCAAACTTGCTACCCCTTCCCTCATTTTTCTCCTACTTTCCCTCCCTCACCTCCCCACCACCAAGTTATATAAATCATCCACTCTTTTTATTCAACTTTCAGTGAGTTTCATTTTGCCATCTTTACTCACAGATGCAATGTATTTTGGTATTGCTTATCCTCTAATATTCTCTTCTCCTTACCCCCCTCATTCCTTTAAACAGTACCACAAATGAAGCATATATATGCCACATTTTCTTGATCTAACGTAGAGTACTTGGGCTGTAACCAGTTTAGCTATTGTGCATACTGCTGCAATGAACATGGGTATGCAAGTGCCTCTATTATACTCAGATTACATTCCTTTGGATAAAATGCCAGAGTGATATTGCTGGATCATATGGTAGTTTTATGAATAATCTCCATACTGCTTTTCATAGTGATTACATTAGGTTAAATTTCCAACCAGGTATCAGGGCTCCTTCCGCACCTCCATTCCCTCTCCAGCTTTTGTTGCTGTGTTTTTGATGATGACCATTCTGACTGAAGTAAGATGAAATCTCAGGGTCATTTGGAATTGCCTTTCCTTTAGTGTCAGGAATGTTTTATTTAGATGTCAGGACTTTCTTCTGGTATTTATTGGCCATTTTTACTTCTTTCAAGAGGCCTGTTTTCACTTCATATTTTTGTCTGTATATTCTGGTTATGAATCCCTTTATCAGATGTATAGCTGGCAAAGATATCCTTTCATCCTGTTGGCTGTCTCTTCAATCTGGTGACAATTTCCTTTGCTGTGCAGAAGGGGTTTTTTTTTTAGTTTAATACATCCCATTTATCAGTCCTTGCTCTCATTTCTGATTTATTGAAATTCAGGGGAATACTGTCTATGCCACTATGTTCCAGTGTTTTCCCTATTCACTCCTGTATCAGTTTCTAATTTTCAGGTTTTATATTAAGATCCTTGATCCACTTTTAATTGATAATTGTATAGAGATAGGGGTGTAGATTCAGTCTTCTGCATATGGATGTTCAGTTTTCTCAACATCATTTATTGGAGAGGTTGTGTGTTTTCCAACATATATCTTTGGTTCCATTGTCAAATGTTAGGTGGATGTAGATATATGAATTTATTTATGGGTAGTCTAGTCTGTTCATTAGTCTTTGTATCTGTTTTTGTGCCAGTACCATGCTCTTTTTGTTACTATAGTTCTGAAATATAATTCAAAGTCTGCAATTGTGGTACCTCCAGCATTGCTCTTTTGCTAGAGTCTTGGGCTATGGAGTTTATGCTTCCATATAAATTAAGGATTAAGTTATCTGTTTCTGTGAAGAGTGACATTGGGATTTTGATGGAGATTGCACTGAGTCTACGGATGGCTTTCAGTGCTATGGCCATTTTCACATTGATTTTGCCTAATCTATGAGCATCAAGGTCTATATTCTTATGTCTTTTTCATTTTCCACCTTCAAATTCTTATACTTTTCATTGTAGAGGTCTTTTACCTCTTTGGCTAAATTTATTCCTAGTCATATTTTTGACATATTGTGAATAGAGTTATTCTTCTGAATTCTTTCTCTGTCTATTCATTATAGGGGTACAGAAAAGCTATTGAATTCACTTTCTTTTTTGCTTTATTGCTGAAATTGTTTATCAATGCTAGGAGTTTGGGGGTAGAATCTCTAGCATCTTTAGGTATAGGATCATGTCATCTGAAAATAAAAATGATTTGACTTCTTCCTTCCCATTCTTGATCCCTTTTATTTTTTCTCCTGTTTTATTGCTCTGACTAGAAATTTGGCCTAGAACTTGTGAGCCTCCTACTGAATTACAGGGCTGTATCACCCAGCTCATTCTACATTTCTTTCTGTGGTACCAGATTTGAACTCAGGGCCTCACCCTAGCTAGACAAGTGTTCTGTCACTTAAGTCACATCCTTAGATTCTCAATTTTTGCTTTGTTTTTTAAAAACTAGAAGATTTTGCTCAAGGCCAGCCTTGGATCATAATCTTCATACCTACAACCTTTCTCATAGGCAGAATTATAGGTCTGTCCCACCACACACACCCATTTGTTGAGATTAGATTCCCTTAACTATTTACCTAGGCTGGACTGGAACTGCAATCTTTCTAATCTCTACCCCCTAAGTAGTTTTGATTGCAGGCATGAGCTCCCATTATCAGGTGAGCATATACCTTTAAGCATTGATGGGATATGATTTTTCAAAGTGTTTATGAAGATTACTCTTGAAGCAAGAAAAACTGGAGGGAATGAAAAGTTTCAGAAGATAGAATGACTCAGAGGGAGAATAGATGGGTAATGTTGATACTCACCTGATCCAGCATTTTTGCCATCTCCTCCAATGAGTGGGACCGTAATTGCTGCAGGGCTCCCATCTGCAGGCAAATTGGTATACACCATGGGCAGAGACTGTACTACCAATGGAATGGTCTTTAGTCCACCTATTTTATTTGGCAGACTGACTGAGGGGATGGTGTGAATCACATGTAAGATCGGTTGGCCACCAGTCCCCTGAGAGGAGGCTAGGATAGAACCAGGAGTCAGAACAGCAGGGATGTTTGCTGAAGTGCTCGTGTCAGCTGTTGAAGTGGATACCACAAGAGCCTGGGGAGCAGACAGTGGCTTGGGAGGACGTATTGGAGCTTGCAGCATGCTAGCAGGCTGGAGAGGAGCCTTAGGTTTATGAAAAGAAAGATCAACTGGTTCCACCTGGGGTAAACTGAAATCATTGGCCAGAAGTTCTTCTGGGGGTTCAATCTTGATGTCATTAAACAGAGCTGGGTTCTCCATGGAGCTCGTATCCAGGAGCGGTGGAGATGTCATACTACTTCTATCTGCCGTCACAGGGTGATCTCTCAGTTGGATAGTACCCTAAAAGAAACAAACAAATGAGAGATGCAAAATAACTATTCAGCCAGGTGGCTCATACCTGTAATCTTAGCTACTCAGGTGGCTGAGGTATGAGGATTCCAACTAGAAGGCAGCCTGGGCAAGAAAGTCCATGACACTCTTATCTCCAATTAACCACCAAGAATAAAAGCCAGAAATGGAGCTGTGGCTCAAGTAGTAGAGCACTACCTTGAGCAAAAAGCTAAGAGATAGGGTTGGGAAGGTGGCTCAGTGGTAGAGTGCTTGCCTTGCATGCATGAGGCCCTAGGTTCGGTTTCTCAGCACCACATAAACATAAAAAGCTGGAAGTGGCACTGTGGCTCAAGTGGTAGGGAGCTAGCCTTGAGCTAAAGAGCTGAGGGACAGCGCCCAGGCTCAGAGTTCAGGCCCCACAACCAGCAAAAAACAAAGCTAAGAGACAGCACCCAGGCCCTGAATTAAAGGCCCTTTGTCCCAGGACGGGGACACACAGGATAAAAACCAGCTATTGTTAGTACCCTAAAAAGGCAGGTGAAGCCAGTCACCAATGGCTCAGGCTTCTCTTCCTAACTATTTAGGATGCTGAGATCTGAGGATCATGGTTCAAAGACAGCCCAGGCAGGAAAGTCTGTGAGACTCTTATCTCCAAGTAATGAGGTAAAAACTGTATATGAAGATTTGGCTCAAGTAATAGTAAGCCAGAGTCCCAGCTAAACAAGAATACAAGGCTCTGAGTTCAAGCCTTAATACTAGCATCAAAAAAAAAAAATCCTTCCCCAAACATGAAATTCCTTGTCCTCTGAATCCTGCAATTTCATTTAAATTCTTATCATATTTCCACATTTCTCATTTGTCTTTTTGGCAAACAAGTTCTGTCCTCAGATTAAAGAGGCAGAATCCAAGAAATCTATAAGGAAGAATAAATCAAGGATACCTTTATCATATTCTTTCATGGTCCTCAATGATATTAAAAGTAAAGTCAATTGAAAGCCTAAGACATGGTCATATGTAATATTATTATCTATATGGAAGTGGCTTATGGATACAGATGTACAAATAGATGTAATTTTCCAATATACAATAAGGAGAGACCTTGCTAAATTTTCAGGGACTTTCTGGACTATATATTGTAGGCCCAGAAACCTAGGGAAGCTGAAAATTGAATCCTAAAGTGGAGACTAATTTGATAATTTTTTGCCCAAGGGGATTTTGAAGATGCTAAGTACTCTCTATGATAATGCCATTTGTATAAGGCCTCAAAATGTATTATTCAAGAATATCTAAAATAGGAACTAACAAAAGTATAGAAACAGAAGAACATGTGCAATATTCCTATTGCCCTGACAAGATATGTTCCAGGGCCTTGTACCAACAAGCCATCCTGACTTGTACTTTCGACAATTAAGCCAACCTTTTGTCTGTAAACTATTTTTTCTTTTTAAAAGTTTTTTATTTTTAGTTTTAAGTAGTTGTACAAAGGAGTTGCCATTCAACAAAGTAGTATATGAATGCAATGAATACTGATCAATGTCACCCCTTTCAACATTCTCACCCATCCTTCCCATGTCTGTCAATTCTTTTTTTTTTTTGTTTGTTTGTTTGTTTGCCGGTCATGGGGCCTGAACTCTGGTCCTGGGCGCTGTCCCTCAGCTCTTCAGCTCAAAGCTGGTGCTTTACCACTGGAGCCCCAGCACCACTTCCGGCTTTTTCTGTTTATGTGGTGCTGAGGAATCGAACCCAGGGCCTCATGCTTGCAAGGCATGCACTCTACCGCTGAGCCACCTTCCCAGCCCCATGTCTGTCAATTCTTAAGTGAAATCTTAACTGCAACAGAGCTTGACTCTCTCTTGTTACCATAGCACAATTTTGGAAGGAATTTAAGAAGTCTAATTGTGTGCATTTTAGTGTTTTAATAGTCACTTCCTTAACACATTCCATCACATTTCTCCTTTAGAACCCATCACTTTTAAGTGTGCCTAATCCATCTCAGATTTGTGCATGCATGCACATATGTGCTGGTACTGGGGCTTGAACTCAGGCTCTAGCACTCTAACCTGGCATTTTTGCTCAAGGCTGGCTTTCTACTATTTGAATTACATTTCCACTTCTGGTTTTTTGCTGGTTAATTGAAAAAAAAAGAGTCTCATGAATTTTTCTACCTAGGCTGGCTTTGAACTGCAATCCTCAGATCTCAGCCTCTGAGTAGCTATAATTACAGCCATGAGCCACCAGCAACCTCCACGTAAGATTTTTTGGTAGCTTGTGGGGCTTGAACTCGGCCTAGGCTCTGTCCCTGAGCTCTTCAGCTCAAGGCTAGCACTCTACCACTTGAGCCACAGCGCCACATCCAGTTTCCTGATGGTTAATTGGAGATAAGAGTCTCAGGGACTTTCCTCACTGGGCTGGCTTTAAACCATGATCCTCAGATCTCAGCTTCCTGAGCAGCTAGGATTACAGATGTGAGCCACCACCACCCAACCCATGTAAGATTTTTAAGCTAATTTGAGTTCGCAAAAAAAAAAAAAGTTTTGGGAAAAAGCACATAGGATCCTCTACTTCTACAAAGAAATCCAAAAAAAGCTAGATCTATTTCATAAATATATAAGATTTTGAGCATTTGGCCAAGATAGTTTTAGCTGAAAGAGTATCAGGCAAATAAACTGTTAAAAGAAAAACCCGTTTTCATTTATATGAAACAGCTCTGCTGTGAAGCTTGAAACTGGGAAAGGTAAGAGTAGAAAGAAATGAAAAAACAAAATACTCCAGACAGCACAGTAGGTAAAAAGGAGCAGAAGGAATGTTGTCATGGTAACAAGATAAAACCCAGGCTCCTCCCTAACAGAAAGGTAATAGAGGTTTTTGTAGGAGGATTTCTTCAAGCTTTGTTCCAGGTTTAAACTAATCATTTTCATGCCTGGGTTCACATATGCACAAATACACACATATCTTGTAGATATTCATCATTTAGATCAAAAAGTCAGCTTGACCATCTGAAACTCCAGTCCTTCATAAATAAGGTCAAGAAAAGAAGATTTGAAGGAGATGGATGAAGATTATTAAAGCAAGACTTAATCTAAACCTATAGGAATTTTAAATAGTTTATCACCACCATCTCAATAGAATCAGGAAATAAAGCACTGCAGGGCAGAGATAAATGATCTTTGTACGAACTAATGAGCTAGACAATCTTTTTTGTTTGTATATGCTAGTACTGGAGCATGAACTCAGGGCTTAAGAGCTGTCCTTTAGGTTTTTTTTTTCACTCAAGGCTGATACTCTATAACTTGATCCATAACTCTGGCTTTTGAATGGTTAATTGGAGTTAAGAGTCTCAAAGACTACTGCTTGGGTTGACTTCAGATCTCAACCTCCTGAGTAGCTGAGACTACAGGGCCCAGTAATCTAGGCAGACTTTTTTTTTATTGTGAAAATACTGTATGAGGAGTTACAATTACATGGGCAAGATAATGAGTACATTTCTTATCAAGCATTGTAGCCTCCTCCTTTGTTTCCCCTTCCCATCCCTTCCCGTCCTCCCCCCGCCGCCCCCTCCCCTGACCCAAAGAAATTAGGATACACAGCAAATCAAAGAAAGATTGGACAAATGGGATTGCATGAAATTGCAGAGCTTCTGCAAAACAAAGGACATAGCTAGCAAGATCAATAGAAAGCCCACGGATTGGGAGAAGATCTTTACTAGCCATACAACGGACAAGGGTCTCATATCTAAAATATA